AGAAGAAACAGAGAGGGGCTGGCCCCATGGCCAAGTGGTTAAGTACGCGTGCTCCGCTGCAGGCGGCCCAGTGTTTCGTTGGTTCGAATCCTGGGCGTGGACATGGCACTGCTCATCAGACCACGCTGAGGCAGTGTCCCACGTGCCACAACTAGAAGGACCCACAATGAAGAATGTACAACTATGTACCAGGGGGCTTTGGGGAGAAAAAGGAAAAAAATAAAATCTTCAAAAAAAAAAAAAAAGAAAGAAAAAACAGAGAATCTGAATAGACCAGTCACAAGCAAAGAGAGAGAAACAGCAATCTGAAACCTCCCAAAAAATTAAAGTCCAGGACCAGATGGCTTCTCTGGAGAGTTCTACCAAACATTCAAAGAACAGTTAATACCTATCCTCAAACTATTCTGAAAATTTGAAGAAGACAGAACACTTCCTAACTTATTTATGAGGCCAACATTACCCTGACACCAAAACCAGACAAGGATAACGTAAAGAAGGAAAATTACAGGCCAATATCACTAACGAACATAGATGCAGAAATCCTCAAGAAAATATTGGCAAATAGAATATAGCAATAAATTAAAAAGGATTATACACCATGATCAAGTGGGATTTATACCAGGAACACAGGGATGGTTCAAGTTCCACAAATCAATCAGTGTGATACACTGCATTAACAAAATGAGAAATAAAAATCACAGGATCATCTCAGTAGATGCAGAGAAAGCATTTGACGAGATCCAACATCCATTTATGACAAAGCCTTCAATAAAATGGGCATAGAGGGAAAGTACCTCAACATAATAAAGGCCATATATCACAGACCCACGGTCAACATCATACTTAATGGTGAAAAACTGAAAGCCATCCCTTTGAGAACAGGAAGAAGACAAGTGTGCCCCCTCTGCACTCCTAGTCAATGTAGTACTGGAGGTTTTGGCCAGAGCACTTAGGCAAGAAAAAGAAATAAAAGTTATCCAAGTTGGAAAGGGAGAAGTAAAACTTGTGTTTGTGGATAACATGATTCTATGTTTTGAAAACCCTAAAGAATCTACCAGAAAACTATTAGAAATAATCAACAACTACAGCAAAGTTGCAGGGTACAAAATCAACCTACAAAAATCAGTTTCATTTCTATACACTAATAACAAACTAGCAGAAAGAGAAGTCAAGAATACAATCCAGTTTACAATCACAACAAAAAGAATAAAATACCTAGGAATAAATGTAACCAAGGAGGTGAAAGACGTATACACTGAAAACTGTAAGATATTATTGAAAGAAATTGAAGGAGACATAAGGAAATGGATATTCCATGCTCATGGATTGAAATAATAAACATACTTAAAATGTCCATATTACCTAAAGCAGTCTACAGATTCAATGCAGTCCCAATCAGAATCCCAAAAATATTTTTCACAGAAATAGAACAAAAAATCCTAAAATTTATATGGAACAATAAAAGACCCCAAATTGCCAAAGCAGTCCTGAGAGAAAAGAACAAAGCTGGAGGCATCACAATCCCTGACTTCAAAATATACTACAAAGCTATAGTGATAAAAACAGCATGGTACTGGCACAAAAATAGAGACACAGATCAATGGAACAGAATTGAAAGCCTAGAAATAAAACCACATCTGTGGACAGCTAATCTTTGACAAAAGAGCCAAGAACATACAATGAAGAAAGGAAAGTCTCTTCAATAAATGGTGTTGGGAAAACTGAACAGCCACATGCAAAAGAATGAAAGTAGAACATTATCTTACACCATACACAAAAACTAATGCAAAATGGATTAAATGTAATGTAAGCCTGAAACCATAAAACTCCTAGTGGATTAAATGTAATGTAAGCCTGAAACCATAAAACTCCTAGAAGAAAACATAGGCAGTACACTCTTTGACATCAGTCTTAGCAGCATGTTTTCGAATACCATGTCTACTCAGGCAAGGGAAACAAAAGAAAAAATAAACAAATGGGACTATATCAGACTGAAAAGCTTCTGCAAGGCAAAGGAAACCATAAATAGAACAAAAAGACAGCCCACCAACTGGGGGAAAATACTTGCAAATCATATATCCGACAAGGGTTTAATTTCCAAAATACATAAAGAACTCATACAACTCAACAACAAAAAGAACAAACAACCTGATCAAGAAATGGGCAGAGGACCTGAACAGACATTTTTCCAAAGAAGATATATGGACAACAGGCACATGAAAAGATATTCAACATCACTAATTATTAGGGAAATGCAAATCAAAACCACAATGAGAAATCACCTCACATCCGTCAGAGTGGCTGTAATTAACAAGACAATAAATAACAAATGTTGAAGAGGATGTGGAGAAGATGGAACCCTCACGCACTGCTGGTGGGAATGCAAACTGGTGCAGCCACTGTGGAAAACAGAATGGGTATTTCTCAAAAAATTAAAAATAGAAATACCATATGAGGGGCTGGCTCCGTGGCCGAGTGGTTAAGTTCACGCGCTCCGCTGTGGCGGCCCAGGGTTCGGATCCTGGGCGCGGACATGGCACCACTCATCAGGCCATGGTGAGGCAGCGTCCCACATCCCACAACTAGAAGGACCTACAACTAAGATATACAAGTATGTGGCGGGGGGGGGGGGGGGCGTTGGGAAATAAAGCAGGGAAAAAAAAAAAGATTGGCAACAGTTGTTAGCCCAGGTGCCAATCCTTTAAAAAAAAAAAGAAATACCATATGATACAGCTGTGTCACTACTGGGTGTTTATCCAAAGAACTTGAAATCAACAAGTCAAAGAGATTCATGCACCCCTATGTTCATTGCAGCATTATTCACAATAGCCAAGACCTGGAAGCAACCCAAGTGCCCATCAACTGATGAATGATAAAGAAGATGTGGTATATATATATATACACAATGGAGTACTACTCAGCCATAAAAAAAGACAAAATCCTCCAATTTGCGACAACATGGATGGACCTTGAGGGTATTATATTAAGCAAAATAAGCCAGACAGAGAAAGACAAATACTCTATGATTTCACTCATGTGTGGAAGATAAACACAAGGATAAAGAGAACAGATTAGTGGTTACCAGAGGGCAAGGCAGGGATGGGGTAAAGGGGTAAAGGGGCACATATGTATGGTGACAGATAAAAACTAGACTATGTGTCATGAGCATGATGTCTATACATTTAATGTACACCTAAAATTACACAATGTTATAAATGAAAAGAATAAAAAATAAATTCGAAGTGAATTTTGTATCTAAATATAAAAAGTAAAACAATAAATATTGTAGAAGATAGCATAAGAGAATATCTTCAAGACCTTGAGTTAGGTAAACATTCTTAAACAGGACACCAAATGCATCAACCATAGAGGAAAAGATTGATAAGTTGAACAACAGTAAAATTAAGAATCTCTGTTTATGAAAAGACATTGTTAAACAGTAATGAAGCAAGTCACAGAAGGATAGAAGATATTTAGAATAAATATAACTGATTAAAGAAAACCCTGTCCAGAATAATGAATTCCTACAAATAAAGAAGAAAAAGACACACAAACCAATTTTTTAAATTGGCAAAAGACATGAACAGGGGTTTAATTAAAGAAGATATACAATTAGTCAATAAATATATGACTACTATCCAACTTTATTAGTCACTGGGGAAATACATTTACTATGGTAAGATATCACTTCACATTTACCAGAATGGCTAAAATTAAGACCTAGGATAACATGCAATGGCAAAAATGTGCAACAGCTGCAACTTTCACATGTTGCTGATGAGGGCATAAACTGGTGCATTTACTTTGGAGAACTGGCTGTTATTATCTCTGCTACACTTGACCCAGCAGTTTCACTCTTCTTTATGTGTATATTCAACAGAACTGTGGACATATGTTAACCAAAATCTACATACGAGAATGTTCACAGCAGAACTATTCATAATAGCCCTAAAGTGGAAACAACTCACATATCCGTCAAGGGTGGAATAGATAAATAATTGTCCTACATTCAAACAATAGAATACGGCAGTAAAAGTAAATGAAATACTGCTTCATATAACAACATGGATAAAGCTTAAAACCATAATGTTGAACCAAAGAACACACACACAAAGAATACCTATGCTATCTCATTGATACAAAGTTCAAAAACTGGGAAAAGTGGCCTTGAAGATAGAGGTCACAGTGGTAGTTACCTGCGGAGGAGGACAGGGACCTGCTGGGGAACCTGGAATATTCCATCTGGGCAGCAGTACCCAAGTGTGTTCACTTTGTGATAATTTAACAAACCGTGATCTTATGATCGTGTACTATCTGGTATGTACGTTATATTTTGACTTTTTAAAATTAATTAAAAAACCCATAATCGTATTCTGGTGTTACCTCCCTGATATTGTGCCCAGATAACTGTGATTCAAATGTTGGATATTCCAAAACTATTGAGTTACACCTGTAGGCATTTTCTTAGTTTATTCTCCTATGTGGTATTTTACATGCCCTAGATTTAGATGTCACTTAATTAATTAATTAATTAACTTATTTATTTATTTATTGTTGAGGAGGATTGGCCCTGTGCTAACATCTGTGCCAGTCTTCCTCTGTTTTATATGTGAGATACCACCACAGCATGGCTTGATGAGTGGCGTGTAGGTCAGCACCTGGCGTCTGAACCCATGAACCCTGGGCCGTTGAAGCAAAATGTGTGAACTTAACCACTGTGCCACCAGGCCAGCCCCTAGATTTACTAATTTAAATCTCAAGAGAAATCTTATTTCCAAGCTCATGTGAACTGCGTTTAGCTCCCATGTAGACAACAATGATTTTGTAAGGGATTAAGATTAAGATGCTTGATAAACTGAGTTTATTGTGAATTTTCTTCTTGCAAACTATGCTCTATATAGACCGTTTATTATTAGGACTTTCTCCAGCTGGAAATAGTGTTTGAAATGTTTAAATTAAATGAAAGAATTATATTGGTGACATTTATTCTCATTTTTCAGTTAAATGTTCTGCAAAACTTTCATCCATTACCCAAGATAATTTTGGAATACAGGCAGGTAAGTTAATTTTATTTTTGTAAGAAAGTTGGTGCTGAAGGAGAATCTCATGGCACCATCTCTCTGTTCATAGAAGTCCATAATCACTGAAGTAGCCCTGACAGCATTCCAAAGGGAGTATAGTTTGTTCATCTTGGCCTTGTATTAGTACTGCTTGCTTGTACCCTGACATCATTTTACTCAAGTCTCCAATCAGCCCTGCCCAGCATTGTGAGCCAAAGGAGTCATAAATGGAAGCGGACTAATGAAAATTTGGAAGGAAATATTTGGTGTGTCATTATCGTGAGACTTCACTGTGAGTTAGACCTGCATCAGTACTGAGTTTAGAAGCCTCTCACAGGAACCTCCTCTGTTTCCCCATTTCTAGGCCTGGCGAAATTACTCCGTAGCAGTGTTTTATCATCTCACGTTAACGTTTACTGATTTATTGACATGCCCACCTTCCTCTTCTAGCTCCTCATGTTTTCTCTGTTCACATACCTGACCTTTGTTCTCTGTTGGTGGTGAACTACATTTATACCTCTTGTCACTGCTGACACCATTGGTCTATTACTTACTGACCCAATGGCTTGCTGTCTTTGTCAGGGCTTGGCAGCTGTTAGAGAGCGTAATGGTAGCAAATGACCCTTTCTCCTTGAAGTAATGAAAGGATTGAAAGAGAACTAAAAGGAACACCAGAGAAGACACTGGATCATGGGTAATTGGGAACTCTCCATTTATCTTTGCAACTTTTCTGTAAAAAAGAATTATTCCAGAATAAAAAATTTACTTAAAGAGGAGTAGGGTCATATCTTTATCTATGGATCATTGTTACTTAATTCTAGGTACCGCATAAGGCCATTTCAGGGCCTCCTGAAGTCATCTGAAGTGACATCAGTGGCACATGCCCAGCACTTTATGAAATAGTACTTTGGTGCTTTTTCCTATTTAAATACTTAAAGAAAATGATTATTTTTGTCTTTGTAATCTAGGTTCACAAGATCAAGTCAACCTTTGTGGATGGATTACTAGCTTGCATGAAAAAGGTAATTGAACCCAAAAAAGATATTGTGATTAGGAATATGGTTTACACATGAGTTCAGGTACATGTAGAATTTCTTTAAATTTTAGTCAATGATGAAATAATCTGATATTCTTGAGGCTATGAACCATGATTTTGTTATTATTCGGGTCTCTTTATAGCATAAATTGACATTATACCTTAAAACTTCATATCTATGTGGAAGCTCTGTGGCTGACCATATGCTTTCACATCTATTATTGCATCTCTTTTCTGCAGTCATTTGAGACAGATGTTTTAGTTCACACATGAGGAGCCTGCAGTCAGAGATGTTATGTGACTTGTCTGAGGCCACACAGCAAGTGACAGCCCCTGTCTGGGATGCACAACCCCACCTTGAGTCCATGCTGAGCCCCACCATGGCCTATCAACCCCCTTCTCCCCATGCACAGGATTTTTAAGTGACATAAAGACCAACATGTCCTATTGCAGTTTCTGCATGGGTTGGGCGAGATTCTCCTTTACCCACCCTGATCACACATCAGGAGTTTCCTAACATGCAGGGACATTTGGGGACTGGGAGTTTAGCGCCAGTAGCTCATGGACATCTGGAGGAGAGCAGTGAGGGTTGTGTGTTGTAGGTAAAGACACTGAAGAGCCCAGCACATTCTTGACTTCATATAGCATTGTCAGAGCTTAAACTGATTCTTTTTAACTGATTAAGGGCTCCATTTCTTCTACGTGGAATCAGACTGGAACTGTGACCGGAAGACTATCAGCCAAGCGTCCCGTAAGTTAGCTCTCCTGTTAAAAGCCAATTTCCGTGCCTTGGAATTGAATTGCCTAGATGTGTGTTTCCCTGCGAACTGTCTGTTTCTAAGAGGGGACACCATAGTGATGGATTGTGTTTTTGTCTTTTTCTTCATTCAGCTAATGTTTTTTTAGCGCCTACTATGTTTGGGGAACACAGTAGGGAAACAAGACACGTGGTCCCTACCCTCATGAAGTGCTGAGTTAATGAGGGCTTTTTCCCATCCAGAGAGTCATGCACGCCGCTGTTAAGGGCAAAAGGAACACCCCATTCCCACTCCCCTGTCTTTGTTTTCGGGTTTGTAATGGACAGGTAGCTTCTGATTTCCAGAAATATGTTGAAATATCTGATGCTCTGATGGCCACCTCCATTTTTGGTTGTTGCTCAAGAAAAAAGCCGTAAACGCCCTTGAGTTTGCGATGCAGCTTTAATGACACGTAAAGCAATTGACTTTTAAAATGGCTTTATATTTTTGAGTTAAAGGCGACTCATTACTAATTTCTCGTTACAGAACAGTTCCTCAAGTACAGACAAGAAATGTAAAAAAAACTAATAAAAGTCACCAGTTATTCCACCATGCAGAATTAACTGTGGTTAACATCTTGGTTAACATTAATTTGGTTAACATCAGACTTTTTGCTAAGCACGTGTATTTATAAAATACTATTTTTCTACAAAAATAAAACCACATTGTTTTATGTTACACTTTTTAATTTAAGATGTCTTGATGTCATACATCAATACATATTGATCTGAATCTATTTTTAGATTCAAATATTTGAAGTATTTAAATATTTACTATATAATACATATACATATGAATATATGTTCATGGTAAAGAAATTCAAGTAATGTGAAAGTTTATAGAACAAAAAAATATAAATCATCTTTCCCTTCCCTTCATAATATGTCTGTCTATCCCGTGAGTCCCCTCTGTTAATGCTCTGGACTGCGTTCTGCCAGGCCTTCATCTGGGCCTGTGCTGATATGGTATACCTAGTGCACCTAGGAAGAAGGGGGGTGACTGTGTTAGGAGGAGAAAGAGGGGCTGAGACTGGGTGGGCTTGCACAGGGGTGTACAGGAGCTATGGCCTTTTGGCACAGGATCTACCCGAGGACTCTAAGCTCTTGAGTCTCTGGCTCTCTCCAGCCTCACACCCACTCTGGGAAGGTCTTATTTTGGACATCCCACTTTAGAGAGCTCTTCTGTGGTCTTTATCCGGCTGAGTAATACTAGTACTTCTGTTAATAATATCTCCTCTGAAAGCAGGTGCTGCTGTTACACTGCCCTTCAGTTCTTTTCTCAACCTACTCTGCCCACTGCACCCTTTCTTTTAGGTGATGCTGCTTTTCATGGAGGAGTTATTTAGGAATTATACTGCAAAAACTCACTTTTTATGGGGGTCCTTGCTTTTCTCTGTATGAACTTATAAGTTCCCATTTTCTATTAAATTTCTAGATTAATCTCTTGCTGTGCTTTATTCTCTTCCAGAAATTTCTAATGTCTCTGGTTTGCAGGTAGCACTCCTCCCAGGTTTTCAGTGATGTTCTAGGTTTATTTATTTTTCTGTCAATTCAGTTGAACTTTTGGAAAGAGGAGATGTGAACATAAGGTGTACATTCAGCCACCGCCTTTAACTGGAGTCTACATCATTATTTTAATAGCTGCATTATAGTCCACTTAATGACTGTTCCTATTGATGGTCATTTAGAGTGTTTTCAGATTTAATTGTTTTATACAGAGATACCATAAACACATGTATATTTTTGGTATGTTTTTCTGATGATTTTCATAGCATAAATTCCTAGAGGTGGAATTTTTGAGTCAAAGTACGTGTGTATTTTTAATGCTTTACATTGCTAAATTGTCCTCCAGAAAAAAATTATTTTATATTCCCATCAAACAATATGTAAAATGCTTGATCCACTACATCCTTACTAATACAAGGAGTTCTCATTTTGGTTACTATTTCCTGACTTGTTTTTTAAATTTCCATTCCTCTAAAAATTAAGTGAGGTTGACTTCATAAAACGATTATTCTTCTGTGAATTGTCTGTTCATGTCATTTGCCCATTTCTCTGAGGGATGTATATTTTTTCCCTATAGGTATGGAAAAGCCCTTTATAATAAAGATTAACCGTTTGTAAAATGTTGAATTATTTTTCTCATCTTTTAATATTTTAAGATATATTTACAGATTAATATTTTAAATATAGATTTTGTTTGCTATACTTAAAATGGCTTTTTTATTATACGTATAATATATGATAATTCTAAAGAATTCACTCAATAGATAAAAATATAAATAACAAAGTAAAAGTCACCTGAAACTCCAGAGCTCTGTGATAATCATCATTAACATTTTGGTGACCATCACCTGGTTTATCTTTTTATGCACGCACACACTCTTACATTAATAGGATTAGATCATATGTGTTGTTTTTATTGTAGACACTCCGTCGCCACACTCATATCTCAGCCCCCCACCCTCAATCTGCAGGAGCCCATGTAAGCAGCCAAGTGTGTATACATTCATGTGTTCCTCCAGGCTTATAATAAGATCTTATACAGACCCATACGTATCTACACAGACATGTAATGACTTTGTCATTGTTTATTTTTCAGAATTAGAGTTTTATTTTTCTGCTTCTTGCTTTTCTCTCTCAGCAACAGCTCGTGGAATCCATGCAGGTTATTTGACAGAGTCCCATTTCAATTTCATTAATCTGTGTTCTTCTCTTTCTCTGGATGTTCCTCTGCTGGTGCATGTACTTCATGTCCAATTCTTTCCCTCTAAGAGCAAAGCTGCAATAAGCATCATGCACGTATGTCCTGGTGTATTGGTACTTGTATTTTTGCAGGATAGATTGTCAGATGTAGAATTACTGGGCCAATGGATATTACATTTTTACTTTTAATAGCTGTTATTAGATTGCCTTCCAAAATGCTTTCAGCTTTTGACATTGCCGTGAGCAATGTCTGTACTGAAGTGTCATTTCAGAAAGGCTTTCCTCAGCTCCAAGATTATTTAAATACTTACCTTTGTTTTCTTGTGGAACTTTCCTGCTTTCATTTATTTCACATGTAAAACTTGAATTCAGCTGTGCAATTTAACCAGATACTATGTAGGTTACATAAAATGGCTAGTGCTTGAATTACATTTTTTTTTGGTTTAAAGCATACAGTATACACTTGATTAATATTTTTAAAAATCAGATTGTAACTGTTTTACAACATTTCTAGAAAGCTAGTTTCTCACACACACACACCCTTCCAAGAGAAAGTTATTGCTATCACTTGATTACTGAAGCTCTTCATCACCAACCTTTGTGTTCTGTTTCATGGTTATTTCTGATAGTAGGAAAATGTAAAATGTTTTTGTCTTTTGATTCACCTGCTTCTTTCCCATACTTTGACATTTTAATGAAACATTAATTGGTTATGGTTTTATTTAAGAACTGTGAGAGAATAGTTTATTCAATTGTTTCAACTCCTGTCTCAGTAATATATATATATATAAAATAAGTATATTAGGGCATTTTTATAATAGCTGTTTTAAAGTCTTTATCAGATAATTCCAACATCTATATCATCTTGTCCTTGGTGTCTTTTGATTTTTTTCCCCCAAGTGATTTGAGATTGTCCTGCTTCTTCATGTGTCCAGTAATTTTGTGTTGTATCCTGGACATTTTGAATATTGTGTTTCGAGAGTCTGTGTCTTGTTTAGAAATCCCATTAAAATATTGATTTTTTTTTTTTTTTAGTAAGCAGTCATCCTGGTTAGGTTCAGGCTGCAAATTGTGACCTGCCTTCCATGAGCTGTGGTTCCAATGTATGTTCGGTTTTCAAAGTCTTTGCTGTGCTATTCACATGTTCCAAATGATGGCTACCCACTGGTCAATCTGAAATCGAGTTGTGGTCTCTCTGTTAGTTCAGTTCTCAAAGTCTTTGGTGTACCATTTAGGATGATATCTAAACATGCGCAACTTGAAGCTGAGCTCGGTGGTCTATAAACAACTCTACAGTATTGTTTTCCCAAGCTCCTCACTCTTTGTGGTCTCCCTAGGTAATTTCTTGTTCTTTGGCACTCTGTTTTTTTTTTTTTGTCTTCTAGCCAGAAATCCCAGGCCTTAGTAATCCTGTTCTGCCACACACTTCATGCCATTGCCCCATGTCTGGAGGATCAAGAGGAAGAAATGATAAACTTACTGCCTGTTGGGTAGTACTTCAAATTCTGGTCTGCTTCTCCAGTCTACCTGCTGCTATTTATCAAAAGCTTCAAATTGCTGCCCTATACATTCTGTCCAGTTTTTACAGCTGCATTCAGTGGAGTGTGCTTACGATATCTTACCAAGAATGGGAACTTCAACTTCATTTTTTAACAGCTTTATTGAGGTATAATTGACACACAATAAACTTCATATATCAGAAGCAATTTGATAGATTTTGACATGTGTATATGATCATGAAACCATCACCATAATCAAGGTAGTGAACATATCCATCACCCCCAAAAGCATTCTTTTACCCCTTTGTAATCTCTCCCTTCCCCACCCCAACCTTCCCCCATGTCCTCAGGCAACCACTGACTTGCTTTTTGTCACTATAAATTAGTTTACATTTTCTGGAAATTTATATAAATGGAATCACAAAATAAGGGCTCTTTTTCATCTGATTCTTTCACTCAGCATTATTATTTTGAGATTCATCCACGTTCTTCTGTTTCAACAGATCATTCATTTTTATTCCTGAGTAGTATTCCACTGAATCTGTGTACACAATTTGTTTATAAATTCATTTGTTGATCAATATTTGGGTTGTTTCCAGTTCTGGGATATTATCAAGTTTGGGTTATTACTGTGCACATTCATGCACAGTCCTCATGGGGACGTATACTTTCTCTTCTCTTGCGTAAATACTGAGGAGTGGAAAGGCTTGGTCCTTTGGTAGGTATATGTTTCACTTTTTAAGAAACTGG